TTTTTTTTTTTTTTTTTTTTCATTTTTCATTATTGAAGAACCTTTTTGGCCATTCTTGGAAAAATTTAATTTTTCTTCGTCTTGTCTTCGACATGCAATTTGATGTTAGTATCTATTTATTATTACTGCGTACCATTTATTGGCCGCGTTGTCGATATGATCGTCTATGGCACGAATAGTTGAGATGGCATAAATGCATTCATGTTTTGTATGAAAAGAATGTAAAACAAAAGGAAAGAAGAAGGTCGTGCATCGTACATACCTTGAGAGGATAATACAATCGAGTAAAATAAGTGTTGGATGAAAAGTATGTTGATGTGATAGAAAGATGAGAGGACTCGGTATTACAAGCGTCGGGATCCTATCGTCGTATGTCGTCAAGTTCGTCCCGGGCCTAGGAATCGAGATTGACACGACGAATTATCCATGCTCATTGGTTTAGAGCAAAATCACACAATTACAAACTGAATAGCTCAAAGGAACCCTCTATTAATATTATATATTGATGCATATTTTGGTGTGTATATATTCGTTAAGAGATTAGGACTGTCCCATTTACTGTGGATTTCTGAAGTCCAAAAAGTCTGTTTACGTGCAATCGAATTTTTGTGTGTCGAGGAATTAATGTTGATTTATGTTCTAAAATTATATAGAAACTTTTTGACTATTCTTTGGAGCAGGGAGAATTTTGAATAATTCAATTTCAAGTTATTTTCGATTTTATTGCGCAAGTCCATTTTTCCAATTTCACTACTTGATTTATATCTTAGTGACTACAACTGTTGTATATGCTGCTCATATAGAGCGGAATACAAGTTTACTGGATCAAAATTGTCGATATTAAAGCGGAGCGGAGCAGTTGTATTTTTCTTGTACGGATGCTGAAGTTCTATATGGGCTTGGGTTAAGATTAGTGTAAATATTAATGATGTAACCCTATTATTCATACTGAATAAAAAATCACCGCTTCGCTCATTTTGTTGATTTCTCGATTTCACTTCTCTATTATTTTGCACTTAAAATCAAATATGAGTAACTTGGATCATACAATACGAAGTAGATATAGATGTTTGGACAGCTATAATCGATTGACTCTATCGAGCTTGTTTGTCCATTGCGACAACCCATGAAGATTGGCTCGATCGACCAATTTATCGAAAAAATGAAGAGTTAAAAATAAAATTAAAAGAGCCACTATAATAAAAAAAAATATATAATTAGAATATACTTGCGTCTACTATTAACATTAAATTCTACTTATAAATTACATTTTTATATTCATATTCATTTTATCAGTGTAATTTCACAAACATATCAATTAGAATATTAAAATTTCATTTCCAATTATGTCCTAGTTTTAAAACGTATTAAATATCAAGCAAAAAGTAAAAGAAATAAATTAAAATGATAGGCTAGTCCAACCCAACTACGCTATTTTGGTGGATTCATGGGCCAGTTTGACGACGGTCGGACTATATTTTTGCATGAGCCAATTCAAACTCGAAACAAGCCGAGTTTGGTTTGGATGCAAACAGCAGCGGATCCAACAGTCGTCCATGCTGGATTTGTCGATATTCAATTTTTTTTTCAATGTATTTATTTTATTGGATATATATCCGTGATCTTCTTTTATTCACAACAAGCTCTTGTAGTTCATTTGGCTAGAGTACCGTATTATAGTTGAAATGGGAGTCTTGAGTTTGACTCTCAACGGTAGCAATCCCCTTTTGCAATTATAGTTTAATACTTTTCACCATTTTGGAGCAAATAGGCATTAAAATTGTTGCAATTAGAAGATTCGAACATGTGAACTTCATAGGAATTATGAAACACTTACTACTATGACATTTGGTGTATGTTAATATTATATGTAACAAAATTCAATATGTTCTTTTATCAAGTAATAAATATATCCCCCCTTTCTTTTAAAATTTTTTCAATTAGAATTCAACAATACAATGAAATTATTAAAATAATCATTTTTTTCTGTTACGCAAAAAGTATTAGCAAATCAAACCAAGAAACTAAATAATTGGATCCGTCTTCAAATTGTTGCTCTATAAGTATTATTAGACCGGTAGATAATGTACACTCGCACTTACAACAGAATGATCTAATGAGCACCGGTGCTCGTCAACGATCGCCCCTGCTCACTCAAAATATTGGATTCGTCACTGAATGTAAATGAGTCGGTTCAATTCAACTCACTCACCTCTAAATGCACCTTCGTTTCTTTTTCTGAGAGGTCCACTAAGGAGGATTGGGTCACTCTTCATCCTTTAGAAGCACCAAGCAAGCATGCAAGTTTGTGGAGGGTTCGTGTGTGAATTGTAAGGTAGCCACGTTGACGAGGGAAGGGTTGACGCCAAAGTCTTTACATCAGAGTATCTTTAGATCACGTTGGACCTCTCTTGCCTACCTCTTTCTTACATCATTCCACGAAACTTCCTTATACATTATTATATTGTTTCTTTTCTTACTTTAAATACTACACATTGCCATTCTTTTATTGTCTATCTTCCTAAATCTGCAGTTATCAGTTAGTTTGTTAAACTGAAGAAAACCCATCTTCATAAAATGGCAGCCAAACGATTATTTGATGATGATGAAGATCAGCCAAACCAGAAACGGATGAAAACTAAACCTTCTTTCGCTTCGTACGCACAAAGCCTTATCAATTAATTCCGTTAATTAAATAGTATTATAGCGAACAAGATTTAAATTTATTTTTCTTCGTTCGTTCAAGTACTGTTGGATTTTAATATTTGCTAAAATATATGGAACTGATCATTATGCTTATTGTATGTCGACAGTGTGGTTAGAGAGGCGGCTCTGGTGAACTTCTTGGAGAATTTCGGTTCAACCTTGGAACCAATGCTTCGAAGAGTGGTAAAAATACCAACCTATTCTCTTAGTATATATACGAAATAAGTATTTCTTGAGCCATGAACGTTATTTCGGGATAAATATATTCGGTTAATTTTTCGATATTCACGAGCGTCTTACAGATGTTTAAATTCAATAATACATGAAATTTTGCTGAGAGTTCACCATGTTTTTTATGGAATCAAAATCATATTTTGATGAAATTGGTGATGAAATTTGATCTTTTGAACTAATTCAGGTTAGTGAAGAAATAGAAAATGGAGTGAGATTAATCAGTAGCATGAGATCAATATCCAGGTCACCATCATTGAGAATCCAAGCAGCAGATCATGAACAAACAAGCAGCCTTCAACTCGTATTCAACGCAAGACTTTCACTTCCGATATTTACTGGCACAAAAATTGTGGATATTGACAAGAACCCTCTTCAAATCCTTCTCGTCGACGCGAAAGATGGACACCCAAAAATCCCGACGTCTCTTCCGTATTGGATCAAGGTGGAAATAGTCGTTCTTGACGGGGATTTCGACAGGCCTGAATTCACATGGAATAAGGAAGAATTCGACAAGAAAATTGTGAAAGAAAGAACTGGGAAAAGGCAATTGCTTACTGGGGAATTGAATATTACAATGAGGGATGGGATTGCTGTGGTTGGAGAAATTGAATTTACAGATAATTCGAGCTGGATTCGTTGTAGGAAATTCAGGCTTGGTGCAAGAGTTGTTGCACTAGGAAACAGTCAAAATGTTAGAATATGTGAAGCCATGACCGAGTCTTTTGTTGTTAAAGACCACCGTGGTGAATGTAAGTACTCTCTCATTTATCTCTTCTTATGTGCATCATTTCTTGACCTAGATTGAGTTCGATATATCTAATTTAGTGTCAAACTTGTCGAGCCGATTTAAGAAAGGTTCAGGCTGCCTAGCCACAAACTCATAAACCCGAGATTATGGTTTAAAGGTGGGCTAGTCCATGATTTTATCGTTTGTGATTTGGTGATCATAACTATCCCAAACTCAAAAGAATAATAAAAATAGATCGATAATCTTTCTTTCTTTCTCTTTCTATTAATTTTCTAATCGAGAAGTATACTTACTAGTGTACAAGAAACACCATCCCCCAGCCTTGGAAGACGAGGTGTGGCGTCTGGAGAAGATAGGGAAAGAAGGAGCTTTTCATCGCAAGCTATCATCGAAAGGCATAAATACTGTCCAAGATTTCTTGAAATTGTACTTCGTTGAGCCCTCCAAGCTTAGAGAGGTACAACTGGTTTGTTAAAACTCTTTTCTAGATGTTTATTAATTTTTTTTTATAACCGTGGATGTCCGGGTCAGCTTGCGCACACTTCGACTAATCTCACGAGATCCTGAAGTTTACGGTCGAGTATTCACCTTAGTGGCCCTGAAGGGATTCGAACTGGTGATGTTTATTAATTTTATATGCTTAAGTACAATTAACAACTAATTATTTATTTTTCGAACAGATTCTGGGAATGGGAATGTCAGAAAAAATGTGGGATGTCGCATTAAAGCATGCCAAGACTTGTACACTGGGCTCTAAACTCTACAGATATTGTGGACCAAATTACACCCTCATCTTAAATCCTGTGTGTCAAATTGTGAACGCTGAAATCGACGGTCGAGTTTACTTAGCTCGTGATTTAAAATCCATGCACATGGTACGATTTGCAATTAACCTTCGAATATTTTAGTTATGTACATGTATACACATAAACGCATTTTCTAAACTTAGTTGATACGAACAGACAAATGTAGCGAGCTTGATTAACGATGCATATGTGAGATGGAATTCCTTGGAAGAAGTCCACGAGCCTGCTCTATTAACTCAAGGTACCATTTCCTATTGTTTTCTAAATTTTAGGATTAAGTTGAAAAGACATCATTTCATTCTCAAAAAAGAACATTGGTGCACGTACAGAAAGCAGCAGAAACAAAAAGAAAATAGATACTCACAACGAGGGCGGGTGGGGTTTTTTTCAATATTTTACTCCCATGGGGCCCATCCCCATGTGAGTGTTCTGGCAATTTTCTAGCAAATCCATTTATGTACAAATAGAAAAGTTCTTCAAAAAATTGTACTTACTATTAGGGTCCGTTTGATATCTATAATTTCATTTTACTATGGGTACATCACCCCTTACACAAGGGGTGACAGATGTACCCCTTACACAAGGGGTGACATAATGCCCAAGTGGCGCCTTCTCATTGGAGGGGCGCCTCGGCCCACATGTGGAGCCTCGGCACCCCTCCAATGAGGAGGTGCCACTTGGACATTATGTCACCTCTTGTGTAAGGGGTGATGTACGAGTAACATTATTCCTATAATTTTCCATGGAAAATGAAATTTTTNAATAATTTTTATCAACAATAAAAAAAAAAAAAATTTCTTTAATAGACAATTTCCAAACAAAACAAAATCAAATGAATGGTATTTGATATGATGATTTTTTTAAAAAAAAAAATTTTTTTTTTAGCAATTGGAACAAATTTTAGATCCAATGATAAAAAAAATTATCAATTTAATGAACAATTTCCATAAAAAACGAAGTCAAAGGGATACCAAATTTTCAACATTTTCCATGGAAAATTATACCAATCAAACATAATTAATTACACCTCCTACTAAAACAATTTCTAAGAAAATGTTATATTTTCCCTATAAAACATTTTCTTTCCACCATTACAACCAAACGACCCTAATAGAAATTACTATTGTAATAAGTTACTTACTAATATATATTAAATTTTGACTTACAAAAGACTTTTTGTTTTTTTGCAATTAAACTTAACCCTTTTTTTCTTTTTGTTTTTTAATCGCATATTTTTCAATAAAATAATATTACACGTAAACTTAAAATTTTTTCTTATTTTTTAATCACATATTTTCCATCAATATACTATTTCAAATTGCATTATTTACTTTTTAACGGGCTTAAACACGCCCTTTATTTTTTACTTATAAGTAAATTCTCTAAGTTTAGCCAAACATCCTTAATTATTACAGGTGATACGATGGTGGGTCACTATCCAAATGAGCAGCAAACAGTAACAAGGTCTTTTATGGGTCACAGCCAATCACTTATAACCGACGGAACCTCCGGCGGCGACGGCGGGTCGTTTGATTGGTTTGTAAACTCTGAGTTTTTATCTCAGCACTCCGACTGAAAAAGGGTCCGATTTCTCACCGGAAGTTATCTTTGCTGATGCAAATAAAACCCAAGAGTCGTAAGATCTGGTGGCGCGTTCTCTACACTTTCTTGTTATTTGCTTAGGTTTTGTTTTCAAAATTATGGAACAATGTTAGCAATTTTGATGTATAATAACTGATTGTTTTTTACACCATCTTGTCTAACCATTTAAAAGTTTGGATAATTCTATTTGTATCGAATGAGGGTTATCGAAAACGTGCCACCCTCTCGTATGCGCGCGACGCTCGCGTGAATAAAAAACTCTCAAATGTGTAATCCTCGCACCATATTGTAAGTGCAGGTAAAATATTATGTAAAAAAATGGATATACATGTAGCATAACCCTTAAAGTTTTTAAAAAAATGATTTGCGTGTTCTCTCGGTGCGCAAAATGAATTTTTTTTTTTTGAGGGTTTGTGCTCTATACAACATTTTTTAGGCCAGCTTGACACTAATTATCCTTTTTGTCTGAAAGGATTGAGTTCTCTTTCAAATGTCAATTTCGATGTTATCACCTTCAACGCGTGGTGGCAACAATAACGTCTTTGGACAAGGACAATTCCTTGTTGTGCACTATTCTATCGTATGACCTCATTTGAATTCAAAGAGGCATGTGGATGTTAATTGCACAAAAAAAATGTTTCACGCGTAATTGGTCTTGTCTCGATAGATATTTATATGTTTAGGTAACATATTCGTAGAGGAATTTCTGATTATATTGACTATAAGAAAAGACACGATGACAGTCAATATGGATCCTCACCCCCCATCAAAATATGGTGTTCTTTGACTTATAGTAGTACTCTTGATGATGAAGTTACAACCTTAACTTGTGAAAAACGTACCACTTTTTTTTTTTTAAAGAATTTACTTGTTCAAATTAGGACTATTAATGTGAAATTTAGACTTCATATTTGAACATGATAATTGATCAATTTTATTGTATATCTTGTTAGTTTGATGTCCTTTCGAGTAGTATTATGTAAAATGACATTATGAATTAACGTTTGATTATTCGTATGTTACAATTTGAAATATTTATCTAAGATTCTACGATCATATAAGATGTCATAAATTATCATCGAGTATAGTGAGACACAATTAGTGACTTGGTCAAAATATGTTCATAATCGGTTCATAAAGTTGAACGCTTTATGTTGATAAGATTGCATTGTTTTTGTTGAGATTTGTCTAGATTTGAGAGTAAGAACAATAATGTGTTTTTGATGCATATTGAACGTGATCGTGTAGATAACTCATTTGTGATTGCTCGGAATGAGACTCTACTCAAACAAGCAACCTAAATCTTGAGCGAGTAATGTACATTTGATTGTTAGTTCAAATTCTTTGAGATATCAATGCGTGAAGTCTTGATTAGAAAATTGATCTCGATGCTTTTGGAATCTGGTCGAAATAGTTAGAGATCATATATTTGTAATAGTGGAATCCATTAATCATCATGATTAGACGATCGCCGATCTAAGGTATTTTCTATAGGCAATTGAACCTGAGTTCAGTGGTCCAACGATGAGAACGTTTGACTCTATGTTGTGATTCGTTCACAACGAATATTCCTTATAAATTGGACTTGGAGGATAATATATGTTGAAAGGCAAAATGGTCATTTTACCGGTTTCAACATATTGACAGTCAAACATGGGTTGACTTGTGGAACGATAATTAGAGAATATTGTTATTGAATCATAATTTACTTCTACAACTATCATTCCAACTCGAGAGTCCAATTTCGACATTTTGGTAGAATAAGTTGGAATTAATAGATGTATCTAAATTGATCGAGAGTCGACCAAATTCGAAACATCTATTGGAGCTTAAGTCTTGTGGGTTCGGTTAGATTCATCTCTTGACTCTAATAAATGTGTGTGACTTAATTGGTCTACCACAATAAGGTCTAAGGAAAATTGTGCAATTATGAAATTCTATTTGAGTATTATAAATATGATTTTTGTGGGTAATTTATCAAGTTTTAGGGTTAGTCATATTTTCTTATATTTCTCATAAGGGAGGCACATAAGGAGAACAACGAAGAGGATCTAAGGGAAGAAGCACTTGGTTATGCCATTAAAAGCTCCCTCAAGATTATCATCTCACAATTATGTATGATGATTTAAAAACGAAATTCAATGATCTCAAGGTGATCTAAGATTCATTATTCATTTGGGTTTAATTTCCAAGGGAAAATTAATTTCCTCTTGTGATGATTAAATTCAATAACCAACATATCTCTTATTTTCATTTGAACTAGTTAGCAAACGACCCTACAAGATAAAAGTTGTTGACACAAAAATTGAAGATTCTAGATCGAAAGACTTGCTAAAGACTTTAAATTCCTAAATAAATAAATCCTTCACCAAACATGATCAACAAAAAAAACAAAGAAAAAAGTTGTTAGAGAAAGAACATAAAAAACTACGTTAACCGCCTCATCAAAGAATATAAGTTATTGAGAGAATATATTTATTTATTTAAAAAAGTATATTTTTACACATCTCATAAATTTTGTAGGTTAAATCCCATTTTGATTATATTGACTATAAGAAAAGACACGATGACAGTCAATATGGATCCTCACCCCCCATCAAAATATGGTGTTCTTTGACTTATAGTACTCTTGATGATGAAGTTACAACCTTAACTTGTGAAAAACGTACCACTTTTTTTTTTAAAAGAATTTACTTGTTCAAATTAGGACTATTAATGTGAAATTTAGACTTCATATTTGAACATGATAATTGATCAATTTTATTGTATATCTTGTTAGTTTGATGTCCTTTCGAGTAGTATTTTGTAAAAAGACATTATGAATTAACGTTTGATTATTCGTATGTTACAATTTGAAATATTTATCTAAGATTCTACGATCATATATGATGTCATAAATTATCATCGAGTATAGTGAGACACAATTAGTGACTTGGTCAAAATATGTTCATAATCGGTGCATAAAGTTGGACGCTTTATGTTGATAAGATTGCATTGTTTTTGTTGAGATTTGTCTAGATTTGAGAGTAAGAACAATAATGTGTTTTTGATGCATATTGAACGTGATCGTGTAGATTATTCATTTGTGGTCACTCGGAATGAGACTCTACTCAAACAAGTAACCTAAATCCTGAGCGAGTAATGTACATTTGATTGTTGTTCAAGTTCTTTGAGGTACCAATGCATAAAATCTTAATTAAAAAATTGATCTCGGTGCTTTTGGAATCTAGTCGAAATAGTTAGAGACCATATATTTGTAATAGTGAAATCCATTAATCATCATGATGAGACGATCATCGCTCTAAAGTATTTTTTATAGGCAATTGAACTTGAGTTCAGTGGTCCAACGATGAGAACGTTTGACTCTATGTTGTGATTCGTTCACAACGAATTTGCCTTATGAAAATTGGACTTGGAGGATAATATATGTTGAAAGGCAAAATGGTCATTTTACCGGTTTCAACATATTGACAATCAAACATGGGTTGACTTGTGGAACGATAATCAGAGAATATTGTGATTGAATCATAATTTGCTTCTACAATTATCATTCCAACTCGAGAGTCCAATTTCGACATTTTGGTAGAATAAGTTGGAATTAATAGACGTATCTAAATTGATCGAGAGTTGACCAAATTCGAAACATTTATTGGAGCTTGAGTCTTGTGGGTTCGGTTAGATTCATCTCTTGACTCTAATAAATGTGTGTGACTTAATTGGTCTACCACAATAAGGTCTAAGGAAAATTGTGCAATTATGAAATCCTAATTGAGTATTATAAATATGATCTTTGTGGGTAATTTATCAAGTTTTAGGGTTAGTCACATTTTCTTATATTTCTCATAAGGGAGGCACATAAGGAGAACAACGAAGAAGATCTCTAAGGGAAGAAGCACTTGGTTATGCCATTAAAAGCTCCCTCAAAATTATCATCTCACAATTATGTATGATGATTTAAAAACGAAATTCAATGATCTCAAGGTGATCTAAGATTCATTGTTCATTTGGGTTTAATTTCCAAGGGAAAATTAATTTCCTCTTGTGATGATTAAATTCAATAACCAACATATCTGTTATTTTCATTTGAACTAGTTAGCAAACGACCCTACAAGATAAATGTTGTTGACACAAAAATTGAAGATTCTAGATCGAAAGACTTGCTAAAGACTTTAAATTCCTAAATAAATAAATCCTTCACCAAACATCATCAACAAAAAAAACAAAAAAAAAAGTTGTTAGAGAAAGAACATAAAAAACTACGTTAACCGCCTTATCAAAGAATATAAGTTATTGAGAGAATATATTTATTTATTTAAAAAAGTATATTTTTACACATCTCGTAAATTTTGTAGGTTAAATCCCATTAATTTTTAAAGGTTTGACAAGTGCGCGATTTTTATGAATTTGAGACAACAAAACGTGACCTAAGTCTACTCGACTACCATATGCGATATGTACAAAAACAAGAAATTTTGTGTGTATTATTCGTATGAGGTCGCTGGTATGTATGCACAAGAAAATGGAAAAATCAAACTAGGAAAATCCATACAAATGAAGAGTACAAAACTCAATGAAATTCTGACAGATAGCTTTTGGAAAATATTCAGCTGAGAAGGAAAATGTAAAGAAACTTCCCACAAAACTACTTGAGCAAGAAATACATATTGAATTAGAATAAACATTGACGAAGAATTTGAATTGAAAAAGAATAATAAATGAATTGACTATGGAACTTCATGAGAAATTCATGGATACTGTCAAACGACTTGTTCAAGAAGCTACATGCTTGGAAAGTTTTAGTAGCTACAATTGGACAATGTTAAAATCTTATTAATTATACTGTCTAATTTTGTTCAATAATTTATGTCAGATAGGCACTATGTCTTTTTTTTGTACCCCGCCCCGCCCCTAGAGTATTGTGGATGAGTTAAATCGCGAGATATGTCTCAACAGACAAGGGTACAAGATCTGCCA